GGGGTGCACACAGCGTGACGGGGAGGAGGGAGGAAGGAGGAGGGAGGAGGCTGCATCTCTGATACACATCAACAAACAGGGACACACAGACACAGATCAGAGGCATTTATTTAAAGAAAAAAAAAAAACCGGTCACATTTCTCAGGCACCTGAAAACGTGCTGCTTATTTTAGGACGCGTGTTGCTTATTGAAGTGTGTGAACAGGAGGAGGGGAGTGTTTAAACTACTTCCACTCTGATGATGATGATGATGATGATGATGATGATGATGATGATGATGGTTTACTGGGAACACACACATACACACACTGATATCACAGCCTGTGGCATCAGCGAGGTGTAGCCTTACAGACGGAGCACTCTGCACAATCTGAGAAGAGGAAATTACCCGGATCGATAAGGACAACTGATCTGATTTCATCGCTTTTTATTGTTTTTATCTTTAATATATTCCCGATTTTTTTTGTTCTCATCGTTTACATTTTTTTTGTTTGCTCTGCTTGTGAAGAGTGGGAGCTTCWCTGGGATCCTCCTCTTTCTGTCTTTGCAGTTCATGAGTAGTTCACTTGTTTCTACCAGAGTCCTGAGTGACAAACAGCAGCTCTAAAAAAATAAATTAAATATAATAAAACTACAAGAACAGAAGAGAACATGGAGAACAGTCCTGGTGGTAAGTAGACTCCAATAAATGTTATTTATTTGCTTAAACCTGTTAGGAAAAAAAAATGTTTTCTGCTGCTATTTTCAATTGATATTTATCACTGAGCGGTATTGTTAAATGATGATGATGTCATTTTCTGTCATGACGCTTACAGCTTGTGTGTAAGGGAATTTTGGGAAACAGTGAGGTCTATTTAATTTTAAAACATTTCCACATTACATGTAGTTTTTGTCTATGATTTTGACTATGATTTATTGGAATCACCTGACATATCGATATATCGTGGTATCGATACATTCCGGTGTATCATATCATGATATTTCCTGTAAAGCTGGGTGTTGATGCTGTGATGTTGTGCAGACTGATATCGGGGATGTGTTTAAAGTCAGGGGAGGATTTTGTTCCCTCAGGCTGTAACTCAGCTGTGGGGAACACGGCGTGAAGCCAAATGCTTCTGGGCTGCAGACTGCGGAGAGGTTTGAGCAAGAGAGGAGAGAGAGAGAGAGAAAGCTGATTGAGGGAAGTCCTCTTGCCAATTTTCTTTCTTTCTTGCCTTTTCTTTTGCTGCGTACTTCCGATTCTCTCCACGTAAACAAAACTCCCACGAAGGCACGACCCTAAAATAATAACCCCTCCTTGTTCTCTTTCCACACTATCCCACTTATTCGGCTTTAGAGACAAATCCACTGATGCGTGCTTTTATTTTGAAATATGTGCACCGAACAGTTCGTTAGAAGGAGCCGGTTTAAAGTGCCTATTTTTTCGTGCAGTTTATCAGTTTCACTTTTGTTGCTTTTGTTCTAACTGGTTTGTTTTCCCAYCACGTGAGGAAGCGGGGAGGATGTGTGGGAACAAGTCAGGGCCACTAGGTCAAAACAATCAGTGGTGCGAAAAAAATGTGTCCATCCTGTACGTAAACACAGAACTCTGCCAGAACCTGAATCAACACAATCAAATTTATATAAATGTATCAATGGATTCACAGGGATAACAAAAAAAAAGTCCAGTTTGACCCGTCGACCATATTTGGGCATTAATGTGTCACAGTGATCCAGTAACCATTGATATCGCATATCAGTAAGCAGACAACAGAGTCTGAGCTGAGGGATGCTGCAAATCATCCGCCTGATTTTCCTTTTTTATTTTTTTAATGCCACCCCGCCTGGAGCTGACAGCACGTGGATCCTGCCTCGGTCTTCACGTGCTGCACATGTTCCCGAGCAAAAAGCAGCCCTCCCCTTCCTCTCCCTGCTGTGGGTGGTGTGTGTTCATACTGTTCGGCTCGCGCAGGGAATTCCTCTCTGTTGGCAGATAGATTGGTCAGTGGGTCAAAGGGGGGGTTTGTGTTGGTGGTGCTGGGGGGGATTCAGCCTCCTGCTCCTGTTACATCCTGATGGACGAGTTCATAGCAGATAACAAAGTTTCACTTTACACAAGTCCCCTTTTCACAGAACACAACAGGGAGGGGTGAAAAGGACATTTTAACCCACATTTGCCTGGATATTCATGACTAACCGGGCCGCTGACGCACCGGTTCTTCTATTTCAGAGTGCACGGTGTCACACAGCATCCGAATGGAACACTGAAGAAAGAATGGCAGAGCGTGAAATGAGTCTCTGACTGAGACGTCGTTTGGTTTTCTTAAAACAAAAGTTAAAGTTCTCGTTTGTTTTTTAGAACGTGTAGGCTTACCTCTGACACAGAAAGAAGGATTTGTACCAAAGTCTATCAGTACAATAACATGTTTCAGCATTTATTACTGCGTACACTTCATTTTATAAAGTGCTGGTTTGACTCGGTTTTAAAACAGAGCCCTCGTGGATCATTTTGACCCAAGGGCAGCAGGAGGGTTAAAGGGTCAGTGGCACATTTGGCGCCCCTTTTTATCAAAATTTCCTCGTCTTTTGTTTGCTTTAGTTCAGAGTTCTTCAACAATGAGTTTGTAACCCATTAATACTGCGGGTACTTTTATTTTTATTCAAAGTTCTGTCCTTAAACACACTTTGTCATGAATCTAACATAGCAAATTGAGGCATAAAATAATGCATTTCGGTCAGAAATAGAAATTCAGTGAGAACAGCAGCTGAAGTCCGACTCTCCATGAATTCTGCACACAACCTATAATTGGCCTATTAGTGCTGTAACTTTTACAATATGTCCACAACACTGCAGCTCCTGCTTTGGAGGTCCCACACAGAAAAACGTTGAAGAGTTGATTAGCTGTGCCAGGATTACACAAAAAGTTAAATAGCCATAGATGTCTTTTCAATAATTACTCTCTGAAGGTTTAATTATAAACCATGCAAATACTACCACACTAAATTTTATTCTCATTATCTGTAAAACTGACTGGGTTTTAGCTGTTTTTGTGTTTGTTGATTAGCTGTGGCARCCGTTTGAACTGGGATGACCTCAAAATATATTCATTTAAAATTGTACATCTGATGAGAACTTTCTGGAAGCTTTAATAAAATCTATCCTGTAGTTCAAGACATATTTTGCTAACAGACAGACAAGGAAGACATAGTTGCAAGGTCACCGTTATTGTTTGGCACCTTTTGAAAACTGATTACAGGGCAAATCTTCAGACTGTTTTATCTGTTGTTTTCAGTGCTGTGTTGTTTGGCCTACARATACTGACTATCTTTGCTGAGCAAAAGTAGGTCTTCAGTCACGTGACGTACTTCCCATAAAAGTCACGACTGATGTTTCTGTTTATATTCCACCATGTGTCTCTGGTTAATAAGTGATCTTGAAGGCAGTCTGTGCTGCTGGTTGAAGATTAAACACAGGAACTCAGGAGTATTCTAAGTGTCACTTCAGTTTATTCTCTGTAAGCCAAATGAAGAGCATGACTGCAGTTTTTATTGGAATCCAACTTAATGGTCTGTAACGAGTACTTGTTGAGGATGACTCTCAGCTACTACCACACCAAGTTTTAGCTCAGTATATGTAAAATTGGCTGAATTTTTGCCATTTTGTGTTGCTTGAGATTGATTAGCATTGGTGGCTATCTTAAATTAGGTTGTCTCCAAAAGTTAATCCGTTGTTAATGTACATCCAGTACTTACTTTCTGAAAGTTTCATTAAAATCAGTTCAATAGTTCAAGAGATATTTTGCAAACAGACAAACATTAACTTCAAGAGTTGATGCTGAAGTTTTAAGCACAGTTGTTGTGTAATGTGTTGCACTCAAACTATATGTTGGGGATAACCCTCAGCTACTGCCACACCAAGTTTTTTACTCAATATCTGTAAAACTGACTGAGTTATGGTCATTATTATGTTTCCTAAGGTCAGTTGGCTGAGACGGCCATCTTGAATTTTCCTGGGTCCAAAAGTTATTCAGCTGTAGTTGTGCTTCTAGTGAATGTTGTCAGAATGTTTTCTCAAAATCTTTTCAATGGTTCATGAGATATTTTGCTAACAGGCTGACATRGTTAACGGCAACATTTAAAACACAATTCTTGCGCAATCAGTTATCCCTCAGGATGCAAGTCAGAGATCAGTCTCAGCTACTACCACACCAAATTGTAGCTCAGTGTCTGTAAAACTGACTGAGTTGCTGTCAACTTTTGTGTTTGCTCAGATTGCTCTGCTGCAGCGGCCATGTTGAACTCCAAAAGTTAATGTGTTCATCCCAAAGATTACTTTCTGAGAATTTCATTGATTCAAGAGATATTTTGCTAAGTCAAACAAACACCCACAGACGGGGGCAGCAGGCGGCGATGACTCAGATCTGTTCCAAAACAGCTGAAGTTGGATCTGTTGACCTTTGCATCTCCAAAACAAACGTTTCAAACGCAGCGACACTTTTTTGGTTATAAAATATCTTTTGTTACGCTCGTGTTTAAAGTAAGGCCTGGTGAAGAATCATCACGACCGACAGCTCCTCATCAATAAACAGCCACATGACACGAGGCCCAGCTGTTTCACGTGGCGGGAGGCTTATCGCTCCACGCACAGCAGGAAAAGTTCACATGAGAGCGGACGGGCTGAGTGAGGCTAAAGAAGGGGGGCGTTGGCCTCCCCCCCTGACATGAGGACAGATGTTTTCCAAAGCCTGGAGGCGGGAGCACATRGAGGGAGTAGAGATTTTAAAAAGACTATTAGAAGAAGGAGGGAGCATGTTGTGTACGTCGTTCTTCTCGGTCAAGTCACATGTCAGGGGTGGAGTGGGGGGGAACAGACGTGTCCAAAAACACTGGAACTGCACGGGTAACATCTGCACCAGTCTGAATACCAGAGCTGCCACCACGCAAAGAAAACACGCACCAAAGCCCTCGCAGCGCGGCGTCGACACGTGCGCTGTAAGGAGGCGCTCAGAGCCACACGGAAAAGGCAGCACGTGTTTCTTCAAGGAGAAAAAAAAAAAAAAAGAAAGCATAACAGGCGAGATAGCAGCCTCCCCTCCTTTTTTGTTGCTTCTCCAGATTATTCAAGGTCTTTAGAGAAAACGTGCTCTGGATTACTTTATAGACGAAACCGACCCAAAATGTCTCCTGTGCTGGCCTAAAGGACCCCGTAGAGCTGAAATCTGTTAGTTTCAAACCTGTGGAACAGGTTGTGAAGTGACGGTTGCTGGCAGACCAGCTCTGGGATTCAGACTCAAAGTGAACATAATGTACATTCAGATAATCAGGACTCAATGTAAACTATATCATCCTCTGCACTCTTTATTAGCCTGTTTGTTCTTTGATTTATTTAGTAAATTTGATGAGTCTTCATTTTTTTTATCATTTATCCCAAAGCTCACTTTTGGGAATGATTTAACCGTCTGCTCAGGTTCTGCCATCCCTGTGAAGAATGACTCAGCCCCTGCTTGTTTGTCTGTAGTCGCAGCATAGTGCAGCCATCTCTGCTCCAAACGTGATCTGCCCTGACGCTCGTTACTCTGCTGCTGCTGCTGTTGTTGTCTGCACGAGACTGCGCAAAGAGCCTTGTGAGCCAGGCGGGGAACTGTGTCGAGAGTACATGTGAGCTCCTGGTCAGGTGGCTGGTGGAGAGATGCGTGCCCAGAGCTGAAAAAGAAGGGGGAGGAGGGAGGGGAGGACAGAGAGGGAACGGGAGGGCGGGGGGGAGAAGGAGCAGGAGAAAGGGAGTGCAGAGTAGATTGAAAGGGAGCTGGCCTGGCAGGGAGCTGGCCGCACGTGAGCGCCCGTGTTTTCATCCCAGGAGGAGGAAGCACTGTCGGCAAAACAAAAGGAGATGCGAAGGAGGCGTTCTGGGGTAATAGGGCATTTCCGGCTTGATGTAACATCAACAAAAAAAAAAGCTTATTTTTAATTAAAGTAAACTAATTATCAATATGGTCATGTGAGTTGTTGCTACAATGACATCGCTTTTTGCTCCTCCAGTCTTTCTCGTTTGATTTGATTTACTGGAGACTTCTYGAACACAAGTTTATATTAAAGGTACAGAGAAGTGCAGCACCAGAAGCTCAAAACAAGTTTCAACAGCAAAACAGGCTGTTCTGCAGAGAAGATTTGGCCCATTTTTCCTGTGCGCACCCCACATACTCAGCTCTACTGTTCTTCCCACAAATGCCTGTTCCTTACAAATGTGGCACCATTTAAAAAGGAATTTAACAGGCTTACCAACAGTATAATATTTTTGTCAAGAAGCATTGTCAACAAAGAAACAATCCACCAAACAAAAATTTCTTTACTTTTTGTGTAAAGTATAGTTTATTTTCCAAGACCAAAGTGGTGCTATCTTAAAACAGCTCGATCTAGCACGTTAGCTGTTATAATACAATCAGATCTAAACTCTTATTTCTTCAAATTGATGTTGTTCAAAGAGCTACATTCACTGATTAATTTATCAGTACCATTCCACAATAATCACAAAAACACAAATGATGAGACAAAAAAACTACAATTTTCTGCCATCAGGTCATAAATCCTCTCCCATAAATTTCGGGGTTTGGTGAATTCCTGTTTGGCTTCTTTGTTTATTTTCTGTCACTTGTACAACACTCTGGGTCTTTTTCCATGGATCCAATTAAGATTCAGAATGGAACAAATGCAATCAGCTGGTTTAAAGAACATGGAGCAGATTGAAGATGGTCTTTTAGCCTTTACCTTGAACATCTATTATCTTCTTTCTGAGCTCTTCAGACAGCTCTCCGTTTTATTTTCTCTGCTCCATGTTCAGCCTGGTGCACACAACCAACCATACCAAACTGTCCATCCAGCCATTATTTTAACCTGCTTCCTCCTTACATAGGGGTCACTGGTGCCAAGATCAGTACCCTGAGAAAACCCACACATGCACGGAGAGAACACACAAGCTATACCCAGAAAGGAMCCAGGCTGGGATTCGAACCGGCAACCTTCGTACAGAGAGGCAACAACTCTAACTGAGCCACCCAAACTAGCCAATTTCATGTTTTACCCTTTAAATGGACTGAACATGACTATAATGTAAAGACGAATAGTTTCGTTGTTAAACCAACAAATCCCTTCATGTTATTCCAGCCCATCCTTGCAGAATAAACAACAAATAATTTCCTCTCACGGTTGTGTGTTTGCCACACACCAGTGGCATGTGGAATGACAACAGACTCTTAACTTAATCCCTTTTCAGGAGAAATGACGCTATAACGATGCCAACATTTATATTCGCGTCTGTACCTACAACAGGCAGTAAAATAAAAAAACTTGTGACTTTTCACTACAAACCCACTTCACAGTAAAACATCTGATCTGTGTCATTTTAAAATAACAATATGATATGTTTGAGAAAATGTTCGGTAATCAAGCAAATTATAAGTAACACTACCCAGTGGGATTCTGAGTTAAACAGCTTGTTACACACATTATATAATATAATATAAAATGAGCTTTTATTTGTGTACAATGTTTTCTGAGACTAAAGATGTTGTTGTTTTTCCATGTTAAGATCCTTGATATTCAAGTTTAACAATCTTCACACAAATATTCAGACCAGAGCTGTTGTTGTTGATGGTCTGGCCATAACATTTTTATTTCCAGATTATTCATCGGCTCAGATTGCAGAAGTCGTTAAATGATCACAGTTTTGTTTGATGTCTTGATTGTCCGCCAAGTGAGCCTGCTGGTAAACATGTTGGTCAACCCAGACACCCTCACCTACATTGCTGCGTGTGAACACTGACCCAGATGAAGATAAACAGGGGTGTTTTTGGTCTTTTTTTGTCTCTCTCCAGGTGGTGTCATCTTATACGCTGGCTCGTCTGGCAGCGCCAGTCCAAGTCCTGGCAGCCCTTCGAGTGGATACCAGACACAGTCGCCGTCCTCTCACTCGCAGCCCTCGTCCCCGGAGGGCACCTCCTTTCAGGAAATCGGGGTCCTGAAGCAGAGAAGGGAACATGGGGGAGGAACCTCCTCCCCGAAAATGGTCTTTCAGTTCCCTGAAGTGAGCAGTGCTCCAGTGGCCCAAATTACGACGGTTTCGTCTCCGACCTACAGCCACCCTGCAGCAGCCAAAAGGCCTTGTGGTTTCACTGGCACATTCACCAGTAAGTCCTCACATTCCCCACGCCCCGCTCTCATCTTTGTTTACTCTTAGCCRTGGTATCGGTTCCAGCCTCTAACAATGCATGTCTGCCTCTTTTCACAGAGACCGGAGGTATGGTGCTTTTATGTAAGGTGTGTGGAGACGTCGCATCTGGTTTCCATTATGGAGTGCACGCCTGCGAGGGCTGCAAGGTGAGGCGGGGAAAACGTTGTCTCGTTTCGTGTCTTCTTATTTCCCAGGGAGAATCTAGACGCACGGGGGACTAAAAATCCACTTCAAAGCCTTTAATGTCCCTGTGTTGTTTTTTTTCTGTCTGCAGGGGTTCTTCAGACGCAGCATTCAGCAGAACATCCACTACAAGATGTGCGTGAAGAACGAAAACTGTCTCATCATGCGCATGAACCGCAACCGGTGCCAGCATTGTCGCTTCAAGAAGTGCCTCTCTGTGGGCATGTCAAGAGATGGTAAGAGACAGGAAACTGAAGCTGAAGTTAGATTTAAGTAACCTTTGTTTAGCTGTGAATATTGGTCATATAATGCAGATTTACACAGACACAGTTTATAAAACCACAATTCCAATAAAGTTGAGACGTATTGTAAATGCAAATAAATATGCATTCATTTGCAAATTTCACAAACCTAGATTTTATTTACTATCGAACATAACAAACATATCAAATGTTTAAACTGAGAAGTTGAACAATATTTAAGAAAAGATGAGGTATTATTGATGGCAGCAGCACATCTCAGAAATGCAAGGGCAGGGACAACAATGCTCTAGAAGTAAATGGTGCAAAAAGGAAATAGCTGGAAGAGCATTTTGCTGCTAATAATTAAGTAGTTAAKTGGCAACAAGTCAGTTAGAGCAGTGGTTTCCAAAGTCGAGGTCAGGACCCAAAGTGGGGTCCTGAAGCATCAAGGTGGGGTCCTGAAGAGATTTTCTGAATTATTTGCATTTCAAACAACATTTTTGACCTTAGTTGTCACAAAGGAATGATGTTAGTGTGCTTAAAATAGATAAAAGTAGCTTAATGAGTATTGTTACTGCCCTTGTCCTGAATGTTTATCACCCAAAAATAGTTGGGGGTACAGGTCTGCTTCTGGGATTTTATGGGTCAAATTCTGAAATGTTTGGGAACCAGTTAGAAGACTGAATCTTTCACAAGTAAAGATAATGCAGAGGTGCACTAGTCAGAGATAGACTGCATGGAGACTGCCTCTCTGATGATATGGGCGTGCATTAATGCCCACGGCAAGGCCAGCTTTGAAAAACACGATCAGTGCATAAAAGTGTATAAAGGCTTTAGAACCATTTAGATGATGTGTTTTTCTGTGAGGGTCTTGTGTAATTCAGCGAGACAGTGCTGCACCAGGCACTGCATCCACTACAACAGCATGACTTTATGGCAGAACAGTCCAGAAGGTGAACTGGTCTATCTGCAATCCAGACCGCTCATTAACTGAAAGTATTTGACGTGCCATAAAACAAAAATCTGGCAAAGATGAATGAGAGCTAATAAACAGGTAGGATCTTACATCAGACAACAATGGGACGACGTTCACCTGCCGAAACTCTCTCTTTCATTTTATGTCCTTTTCTTTGGCCATTCCTAATCTGATTTATTGCAAAAGGAGCCCAAAAGTCCCATTTGTCATCAGTCATGTAAAATACAAGAAAAAAGAGTTGATTTTTTTATAAATTAGGACACACAATTGTTGATTGTCTCCTGTGATCAGTGAATTACAGTCATCTCGAACAATCATCGCGATCCCCTGCTGTTAATCATGAACACCTCCAAGGTTTGTCTGGAAATGGGAGTATTTTTATTATTATTATTCCAGCTACTCGGCCCTTCTGCAGCACTTCCCCTGCAGCACTTCAGCCTCTTGGGCATTGCTAAACTAGGTGATAATAAATCATGTTTCCCTGAGCACGTATTTTTAGTTGACCTAAAAAAGCCACAGTGAGGAAATGAAGAATTATCTGCAGATTCATCGGACTGCAGCCTATTTATCTCGCTCTCATTTATCACGTAGCCTCGTCGTTTCGTCCTGTCGTTTCACCATACCTCCTTGTGTTTACGCTTTCACCGGCGAGTTATTTCCTCATCAGACCTTTTACTTTGTCCACCGTCGACCTTTCGCCTTTTCGCCCCTCACACCTGTGTTTCGTGTCTTCGACCTTTCCCACTAATCGTTCACGCCGACAGCATGTTCGGTGCCGGTGACCCAGTGATCCACTTCCGCGCTTCATTTGAAACGCAGAAACAGAGAAAATGTGGGGGTGGGGGTGGGGGGTGGTGGTGGCATGCAGCGCACTATAAATAGGACTGCAAGATGCAGGGCTGACGTTTGGAAAGGCTGCGGAGGAAAATGAGGGCGATATGWTGGTCATGAGCTCTGTGGTGTAAAAGCTGCGATGGTGGCAAAGATTTTAAGTGAACRTTTGTGATTTTGTTGTTCCTTTTTAGGACATGAGTGTAAATATTGACATTAAAAGCCTCCAGGAAGGTGTCGGCAGTGATGCTAACAGGGTATGTCCTCTTCTYGCCCTCAGCTGTGCGTTTCGGGCGCATTCCAAAGCGGGAGAAGCAGAGGCTTTTGGACGAGATGCAGAGCTACATGAACAGTCTGAACGAGCCGGCCTCCATGGAGATGGACGTGTCCCCGACCTCCGACACGCCCTGCAGTCCGGCTATCCTGCAGCCCTACGGTGGCGACGAGAAGCCTCTCAAGATGGCCGCCGCCGGCAGCAACCCGAGCCCTTCGTCGGCGCCCCAGACGCAGCACGGTCTGACGCCGAGTTACCACGTCCCCAGCAGCTTCCCAGACAACGAAAGCTCCTCGAACGTGGACAAGTTCAGCTTCTCGCCCAAACAGAACCAGTGCCCTGTCACCGGACACACGTCCACTCAGACTTACCCGACCAACCTGAACAACATCCCAACCAGAGAGTTCCAGAACCAAACCTCCTGCCCCTGGAAGCTCCACGGAGGTGCCAAAGTTCTAGTGAGTCCTTTTACATCCCCCTGTTTGAGTCTTCCTCCCATAAATGCTCCCAGTGTTCCTGAGCATCAGCGTAACGCTTCTTCTTCTTCTCGTTCCTCTGTTCTCTGCAGGCGTGCCCACTCAACTCGTGTCCCGTGGCGCCGGCCAGCCGCTCTAGTCAGGAGGTGTGGGAGTCGTTCTCACAGTGTTTCACCCCCGCCGTTAAAGAGGTGGTGGAGTTCGCCAAGAGCATTCCGGGCTTCCAAACCCTGAGCCAGCACGACCAGGTCATGCTGCTGAAATCTGGCACCTTCCAGGTAAAGCCCGGTCGAAGAGCACGTCGTCCCAGAGGAGGAAGACCTCGGGCTCCCGATGCTAACCTTGCCTTTTATGCTCCGCCCACAGGTTCTCATGGTGAGGTTCTGCTCGTTGTTCGAACCCAAGGAGAGGACGGTGACCTTCCTTAACGGACAGACGTATTCACTGCCGTCGCTGAGGGCCCTGGGCATGAGCTCCCTGCTGGATTCAATGTTCGACTTCAGCGAGAAGCTGGGCTCGTTGGGCCTGGAGCAGGATGAGATGGCTCTGTTCATGGCTGTTGTGTTGGTGTCTGCAGGTAAGACACTGACACTCGAGCACGGCTATGCAGCAACGCATTTTTCCTCATGCCTAACCTTGACTTTTTTGTTTTGTTTGTTTTCCCCCTGGCTAGACCGCTCTGGTGTGGTGGATGTTGGAGCCGTGGAGCAGCTGCAGGAGAACCTGATCAAAGCTCTGCGCTCGCTCATCACCAGTCGCCGGCCGGACGACAGCACGCTCTTCCCTAAGCTGCTGCTGCGCCTGCCGGACCTGCGCACGCTGAACAACCAGCACTCGGACAAGCTATTAGCGTTCCGCATCGACCCCTGAACACACGGGGGGTTTCGGTATCCTCTTCGCTCCTGACGTGAGCTCCGGCTCGTCTACATTCAGCACACTGACCTCTCTGCCTGACGGACAGCTCTTTGTTTTTTTTTGGCGGGGAAAGTGTGATGCTATGAGAATTTTTTTTTAAAAAAAGGACGAAGAACTGAAGGTCCAGCAGAAGGTGGCGCTCTCATCCATTTGCTTCCAGTTGGACTGAAGAAGAAAACAAGTCCCTCCTGACGTTTGTCACAAAGACCAAAAAGCAGAATCTTTGTCCCACCTCTAACAAAGAAAGCACAGATTGAAACAAAAACACTAAACCAATAGTGACTTCCTGTTGTACATTCTTGCTACAAAAGAAAAAAAGACACTTTCCATATGTTAAAACTCATAAATCTATATTAAAAAATATTATAGCAATAGCTTTTGCTAAAATACAGTTAGAGCCGTTTGTGTTGGCCCGGTTGAAAAAACAAAAAAGAAAGAAGAAATAAGTTATTTTCACAACATGTGGAACGGTTTGAATTAAATCACCCATCTGTGATTGAGATATGTTTGATATTTTTAAAGAATACATGTATTCAGGGAAAAAATGTGGGTCATTTTAGACCAGCGTTGAATGGATATAAAGATGTTCGCTTGTATATTTTGTATATAACCATTATAACTGGATGCTAGTTTGCAGATTATCGGATGTGTAAATTCACTTATGAAAAACGACTCCTCTGTACACAGCAAACAAATTAAAAAATAAATCAAAGCAAAAGCATTTCAGATCACAAATATAAACTTTTTTTAAAATTGAAGAGTTGTAATAAATGTATCATTAACGAACATCATCAGCTTCGTGTACATTTTGTAAATGTTCATGGTCATGACATAGAAATACATCTATTAAAAATGATATCACATAGCATTTCTGCTTCCGCTCCTTCATTTTTTCCCCCCATCTTTACCGCGATGCAGAGGCATACCATAGATCCGTTACCTAGCAACTGAAGCAATCAGCCAATCCCGCTTCAGGTCTGAGATTTATTAGTGGGCTTTTCTTTTTTACGCTAACAAGGAACATCACCTGATCTTTGAGAGGAGGGAAGAAGTCGTCACGTTTCTGTCAGTATGAGGTGGAATTCAGACAAAAGAGCTGAGTGACTTTTTTTCAGAAGAGGGAACAAAATGGCAGTGAAAGGACAGTTGGGCTTGAGGTTAAACAGGGAACTGTGTCCTTTATTAGTCCATATCATGAATCTGTCTTTGCCTGTTTTAAATGAACTGGAAGGAGAAGTAATTTTAATATCTGCAGTCTCATTTTGGGGCCAAATATGTCTGACTTTGTTGATTTATGCAACTTTAGTTCAAACATCATGATTAACCCTAACAAAAAAAAATGTTCTTTTTTTTTTTTTGCAATGCTGCATCTGAGGGTGCACATTGTGCCGAGCGAAGGAAAAGGAGGAGCATGCAGCTCACTGTTCAGTTTGTATTCCCATCACAGCCTGAGAGAAAGTACTGGCTGTTCTCAGCAGTGATATTCTGGTCCCAGGTGGCGTTCTGCCACACTCAGTTTTATGGATCACATTAAAGGTCCCCCCCCCACCCCCCAACCACCACCACCTCCACACACACACCCTCTCTGCCACCTCCTGGACACCAGCAGCAGCAGGAAGTAGCTGTGAATGATTTGATTTCGGTGAATCACATCTGTCATATCAGAAGTATTCAGGTCACCATGGGAGTGCCAGGCCTTGATGAGCATCCTCTTTAAGTTGGACGTTTGTGTCATAAACAGGCTTCACAACTAATTTTATAGACATGGCAATCAAAACACAATAACTACACACCCGATAGTTACTGATAATTGGAGCCATTTAAGAAGCAAATCAAAGACAGCTAAGAAGCAAATGATGTGGAGAATTTTAATAGCAAACTCGGGCTTATTAAAATGATGGTTAAAAGCTATTACATCAACTTTAACTTGACTCTGTGTCTTTTAAACTATTTTGAACCGTGACTTACATATGAAAGAATACAGGAACTGCCTTCCACAAATTAATAATTCAAGATTTTATTTCAATTTTGAATTTAGAAAATGAGATTGATTTGATTGAACACATCAAATGTGCATGTTTGGTCATCAAAAGTCCCCTCTTAAAACTTTTACTAGTAAAATAATTCATTTTAAACTTCTCAGTGACATTTTGTTCAGGGGAAATAAAGTTTTATTCACAGCTTTTGACAGCTTCAACATATTACAGTCTTTTGGTCCCATCTAGTGGTCATTGCAGAGAACAGAGGATTAAAAGTTGTAGGACAGATTTTTCTGCCCCCAAGTGGACAAAACCAGCCACTGCAGATTTTAGAAGGAACCCACACACACACACACACACACACACACACACACACACACGTTCCTTTTGTTATCCGTGTTTGAGTCCAGGCGGTTGGTTCCGTTACAGATCTCTTTCCAGCTTAATCCTCTTTTGGTTGAATTCATTTCGTGTCCTTGGCTCCAAACTGGTAGGAGCTGGAAAACACACAACTGAGATTTCATCCTGTGTACAAT